CCAATGCAAGGCCAGTATATTTTTGCCATAAATCATATCCTCCTGTTTCTCTGCTAAAGATTTTTCTCTTGTTAAAATTAAAAACAAAAAAAAAAGAAAAAAGATACTTTTCCTAGGTACAATCTTTACATGCGTAGCAGCGTAGGAAATAACCGATTATCTCCTCCCTTCCCAAACCTTTTGTTCAATAGCCAAAGAGAAAGAAGGCACAATCTAGCTGAAAGGGAAAATTTTTGAGCTTACCCACACACAACTTAATGCACCAAAGGCGAAGGGAACACTAACTTGTGATGAAGCGATTTTGGAGCTTAGACTTGCGCAACTTGCGATGACTTGTGATTTTGGAGCTCAGACCCTTAGACTTGCGAGCTCAGATGGTTGAGGGAGACTGGAGATCAGACTTGCGAGACTGAGATTTTGGAGCTCTGTCGAACAAGGAGCTTTGCCGGAGACTGCCTTGCTGTTAGTGACGCTGGGGAGTAGGGATTTTGGAGGAGGTGATTTTGGTTTTAGGGAGGGAGGTGAGATGCTGTTGCGTGAGCCAAAGGAAATGAGGAATCAGATTCAGGGGAGGGAAATAGGGGGAAATCGACAGGAAAGGGAATTAGGAAAGGAAGAAGGAATTTTTTTAAAAAAAATTAAAACGACGCTGTTTCACACGTTTGGCAGAACAAAAAAAGAAAGGGAACGGGGTAACCCAGTGAATCGGGATTACCTGGTTCTGTATCGGTTATGACCGGTTCAACCAGTTCTTTACCGGTTCGATAGGCCCCTAGTTCAACTCTTGAACCAGGCCGGACTGCAGACTGGTTCACCGGTTTTCAGGTCGGGCCTTGCAGGTCCGGTCTGGTTTTTTTTTTCTTGGATGGTTTGGGCCGAAACCATGGTTTTACAGTCCAAAATCATGGTTTCAGATGAAGTGAATCCATTCTGCTTCTGGCTCAAATTGGAGAGTATGGTTGAGCCTGTTAGAATAGATCTCAATGATAATATGACTTTAACACCCTTCAATTATTTTTTATAAACATATTTAATCTTATATTTTATAAATAAAATATATTCACATATTAATTATTTATTAATTGCATTATCTTATATATTATTAATTATATTGGTAAAAAATATATTATTAACAATTTTATTCCTTCAAATTAAAATATATTATAAAATCTGTCTTTTATGTAATTGTCATATTAACTTATGACTTTTTTAATAATTTGCACATATAAAAAGTGCTTCTGATAACAACTATCCAATCACTCTCACTTTATCAGAATCACTTTTTTACAAAATTTATTCTTCACAATTTATTTTCTCAAAAATTTATTCTCCAAATCATATTTTGATTTTATCCAAACACCTCCTAAAAATGAGTCTGGCTTGGACCAGACCTAACAAATAATGAAGCTCGCAAGATGGTAATTGAGCCCGGAGCTTAGTAGCACCGAAGTTCATAGAATGAGGACTGAGGAGGATATGGCAGCAGTTTTTACCGTTGACTCCAATTACACTACATTAATATAATGAGTTAAACAATTTTTTTTTTTTTTTACAAAAAAGAAGCCAAAAAGCTGAAATGCCGTGCAAAATATGACCAGCTTTAGCATTTGCAGCTTGGTATATTTATAAAAATGAACACTTTGACGAGTGAAAAAAATTACATTTCACAAAACACGCGTGCTTTCCACCATGAACTAATCCTAAACATAGATGAAAAATGTAAAAAAGTCCTAAACCATGGTTTGGACCAGATATTTGTCAAATAGCTGGAAAAATGATCAAACTGAGATTTGGGCCAAAACCATGATTTCCAAAACAGCAAAACGAATTTGCTTCTGGGCAAAATTTTGAGGACCGTTGTGTGATGATAATGGCTGTCAGAGAATATATGACAAAAAACACCTCATGTTCAATTATTCAATTACAAGCTTCCTTTTGCCTTCGATGCTTTGGTCCTCTAGAAGTGCTTTAATAATATATTATTCAATTAATAATATGTGACAAAATAGTTATTTTTCTATAAACGTATTTAATCTTATATTTTATAAATATATACACATATTAATTATTTATTAATTATATTTTCTTATATATTATTAATTATGTTGGTAAAAAATATATTGTAAAATTTATCTTTTATATAATTATCATATTAACTTATTTTTTTTAGTAATTTGTATATATAAAAAGTACTTTTGATAACAACTATCTAAATACTATTACTTTATCAAAATCATCTTTCCACAAAATCTATTCTTCCAAAATCTATTTTTAAAAATAACTTTTTTTTCAAAAACTATTCTCCAAACCATGATTTGGTTTTATCCAAACACCCCGTAGTTATTGTTCTTACTGCGTTAAAGGCCTCTTTGCCAACAAATCTTTTTGGTAATTTTTCATGAACAAATTATTTCATACTCCCATACCTCAAAACAAAGAACAGGCCAAAAAAAAAAAAAAAGCCAAGGACTTCTTCCAATGTAGCTGCTATTTTGTATAGCTTGACTAGAAAATTAAAAAGTTTATGACGAATCAACTACCATAAGTGCATCGAAGCAAATCCTCTCAGTAGCTCATTTCTCCTTTTTCCCTCAAAATCTTTATATACCGTCCGTCCAATCTATCTAAGGGCTTATAAAATAACATGTCATTAATATTTAAAATCGTATTTGAACCATCCTGGAATTTCATATTCTACAGAATCTAAATCTGTCGCCTTCACAAATAATTTTTTCATCAAAGTTCCAATCCCTTCCTCAACGCAAAAAGGGAGTCACCTTACACCTGTTCCTCTACATCTCAGCCCTCCTTTTCCATCCATCTCTTCCTCCTAATCTCCCGATAGCTCTTTCACTTGGATTGGACGACCTTCCCCTTTCACTGTTCCGTCATGCGGCAGGAGTGAGAGAAGTAACAGCTCTGCTATAATTAAGAAAATACCCCACCAATCCTACTGTACAAAACAAAAAGAAATTTCTTGCATTTAAAAACTTCAGTTATCGTAGAAACTTAACGAAGTTAAGTGGAAACTCCACCCCACTAAGAAAAACTGAAGCTTTAAAACATCAAATGATACGAAACCGGGTGAAAATCTCCCTTTTTAATGCTGAGAAGGTAAGCAGGTGGAAATTGAGGACTTTTACCCTTTAATGCTTTAGATTTCGTGGTTGAGACATCTGAAGTGTTTGCCAATAACGCATAAGGTTCTATGATTGCAAGGTCTCCTTGTCTAGATCGAGCCCAGAGGTTTTGGGAATTTGATTAGAGTTTGAACAGCTTCTCATAGAGTTGGTCTCTCCACTACTTGCTCTTCCACACAAAACACTACCATTTTAACCGACGCACGACCTCGTGAAGGGGTACAAATGATAGTTTAGGATGAAGAATTTTAACAACTTTCTTCCTTCTTCGAATCCGTCATTTTCCTAACCCATTGAACAATGCCTACCCACAACCAATTCTCCAATTGGTTTCCTTCAATGATGTGGGTAACGAAGATATCTGACCATGAGTAATAGGAATTTTGCTAGCAGATGAAATTCATTGGACATCTAGGATTACGGTGAGATGAATGGTTCTTATATGATTTCAAATACTTCATGGCGCGTCACGTTGTGAGTCCCAGGATGGATTGGACGGATGAGAAGAGAAGATTATGAGAGAAGAGGAGAAAAGCGCTACCCAGAGGATCTGCTTCCTAAATGCACAATACAAGACACAAATATTGGGGGAGAGTGAGGCCTCCTTGGTGTATGTTTGTATGATATGACTGGACTCGGTCGTATCTTTATGAAATTTAGCTGGCACTGTTCACATAGTGGCTTGCGCAGGTCGCTCACATGCACTACATTGAAGGATCAAATAAAAAATTCAGTCTAATGATATTAAATAATTTATTTACTTTTTTTTTTAAACACAACGTAGTGACTAGTGAGTTTTAATCCTTTATGGAGATGTAACGAGTGTGTAAACAGAAAAGATATTAAAAAAATTAAATATCCGTTCTGTCTAAAAGAAATTAAAATATAGCTGAAATTATCATTACGGAAACATGTACAATAATCCTGAGATTGGTATGCGGAAAACTGAAAAAAAATTAATAAATCAATTTAAAAATTTTTAAAAATGAGGTTGTGAAATTTTAAGAAAAAGATGATGTAAAATAAAAGAAAAAACTAATTAAAATTTTTAATCCTTCTTTAAATTTTTAAATCAAACTAATTAAAAATTTTTCTCTCCTATCAAACATGTTTAAAAAAAGTCAAAAATAAAAAATGTACAATAATTTGATGAACTAATCGATTAATTCTATTGATGAAAGTAGATCTAATTAACTTATCAAAATAACTTGAAAATAGATTATTTTAAATATATCCACATATCTCGAGCTTCTTGCAACAATTTTCTTATAATTAAGAAATGAAAATATCAATCGGAAAAAAGATAAGAAATGAAAATAACCTTTTTCCCCTAATGCGCCCTCAGATTTGCTCAAAATTATCCAGACTTTTCTATCATGTATGTTTGAGATATGTCATCATTCATCAGGGATCCTTTATTTAGCTGGCTATTCATGTTCAAGAATCTATGGGTTAGTTGAATAAAATCATCACTTTCCACTTAAAAGAAAAGAAAATAGAATCTCCAGGTTTAGGCGTTAGAGTGCAAATTTGCGAAGGCAGAATTTAATAATGTATTTTTTTTTTGATAAACAGAATTTAATCATGTATTAATTATTCATTAATTATTAATTTAACGTCCCGTTGAAGTCAAGCGTGAAGTGAGTCCAAAAAAAAAAAGAAAAAGAAGTCAAGCGTGAAGGGTTCACTAATTCATGCGCCACTAGCTGGCCCACGTTCAAATAAGGAAATAACAAGCGCGGAGTATTTTGGTGTCTGAATGACGTCTCGCACGAATGTTTGTAAACGATGCCGTTCTCTCTCCACGCAACCAAAGCAGCCTCATCCTCCTCCTTTCTGTTTCGTCTAGGTTGCTAAGGAATCTTCAATTAATATTTGAGTTTCGAATGTATACTGTATAGTTCCAAATTTGGAAGAAGTCTCAACAGTCAGCACTGGCTAGGCTGGGCGGGAAGAGCTCAGGGTTCTAAAGACCAAGGCTATGGCGGAAAAAAAGAACCGGTGGAGTTGGGACTTGGGCGGATTCGAGCCATGGAAGTCGTCGCCTCCGCCTTCATTTGGCTGTGATGATCAGGTACCTACTTCACCGTTGACGAGGAGGTACTCCATCTCGACGTCCTCGGTTATTCCGCGTTCCGAGCTCTCCAGACTCTCCATGGTCTCCAAGGTTCAGCGATTAAGAGATAAAGTCAAGGTAATGTGTCTTCTTTCGGTGTTCAGAGCATCATTCTTCTCTCTCTTGTTTACAAATGACGCCTTAAGTTTAGTGAGAGGTTTCTGTTGTTCCTACTTCAATGCCAGTGTTCTTATGGCAGTGCTTGTATTCATGAGATGTGGTGGTTGTCAATGATTATAAGAGGAGACCGCCGGGTTCGTATATATGATTACTACGGTGAGGAATTTGGACTGCATGCTGAGAGTTAGTTTTAGCTTTACCTACCATTTGGTGCGATGTATTATCTGGGTAATATGTGGTTCCGCATCAATTAAATTATTCTGAGAAAATAGTTTGCATGGGATGGCATGGACTTCTGAGACGGTGCCACTTGCAGTTGTAAGCTAACAGTGTTGGGCAGCGGGATGTGGAAGGTAGACAGTAAGGAGTGAGGAGATTCTCTGCCTTCAATTCTCATGGAATGCTTAATAAAGTCAGTGCCATAGCATTTTGTCTGCAATACTAGGTGCTGACTTCTTTCAGCGATTGCATGTGCCTATCAGATTCAGTGACGCATTCACTTTTATTTATTTGTTTGTTAATTTCACTTGTTTAAGGCGAATGACTAGGTTCTTTCGAAACCACTTAATGTTAGTACGTAAAACCTTGTTGGAGGTGGAAGTTATGATAAACTACAAAAAAATTTTCTTTCTTGGGAGTTAGTCTTGTGCTGACTAGAAGAGGTTGCTATTGAATGTCTTTGTGCTATCAAAATGTTTCAAATCATATTGCTTTGAGCTATTGTTTTGACACGTGTCTGGGAAGATCTTTTGTGGATCATGCTGTATTTAAGCCTATTTTAACAATCATATCAGATATTTTGGACAGCTTGCTAGAGAAGACTACTTGCAGTTAAGACAAGAAATGAGTGAACTTCAGGAATATTCAAATGCTAAGCTTGATCGAGTTACACGATATCTTAGTGTTCTTGCTGGGAAATCCCGCAGGCTAGGTAAGAATTTATTGGCCACAACTAAAGTTTTGTGGCAGATACACAGAAGGATTTAGGATTTATTGTTATTCCTGTAAACTCTTGTGTTTGATTTGGTCATTTGATTTCAGCGGCTGCATTAAGTTGTTAAAAGTTTTGTTGGGAATCTTTTTTCCCCCTCCTAAATGGTTATGAATTCTGATGTTATGCGTAAATAAACGTGGTGGTCTAATCTCTAAAAACACTTTTTTGGTCCTTATGCGGAGGAAGTCATGTGAAAATTTGAGGGTCTTACATTGATTTCATCTGTTCTTGGAGAAGCTTTTCTACTGATGTTTTTCAGTAAATCTTTTATTTTGTGTTCTTTATGTCAATATTAGATCAAGCCACCCTTGAGACCGAAGCAAGAATATCTCCGTTGATAAATGAGAAGAGGAGATTGTTCAATGACTTATTGACAGCCAAAGGTAATTGCTACCCAGGAGTTGTCGTTTATTAGTTGTGGCTTGTCTATATTTACCTTTTCTTTGTGAGACTGATTTTACTTTTCATGGTATCATATACGTCATCTGGAACTTAAGTCAAGAGGATGATGGGACCTATTTACAAATATATAACTTCACTCAGCTGAAAGTATATGCTTAACTATAACATGGATACTAATAGCATTATTTGCAGGAAATATTCGTATATTTTGCCGTGCAAGACCTTTGTTTGAGTATGAAGGCCCCTCAGTTGTTGAATTTCCAGATGACTGTACCATGCGGGTAAATACTGGTGATGAATCCTTGTCCAACTCCAAGAAAGATTTTGAATTTGATCAAGTTTATGGACCTCACGTTGGACAAGGTGGTATTGTCTTTTTTTATGTTACTATTATTTTTGTCTGCGAACATTGTTGAAGGAGTGTTTTTTGCGTAGTTAACCTTTTTAGTTTTGTTTGCAGCTGAATTGTTCAGTGATGTTCAGCCGCTGGTTCAGTCTGCTTTGGATGGATATAATGTTTCATTATTTGCTTATGGACAGACCCATTCTGGAAAGACACACACGATGGTTGTTTTTTCTTTCTTTCTTCCTTTCACTCAGTCTCTGTGCAGATCACTATCCCTCTGTTTTAAAATAAAAAGAGCTGGATGAGGATCTTGAATAAATATTGACTTAACAGTTGTTGTGACCATTAAATGAGAATTTTTTTTTCCCCTTACCAACACGTTTACTTCTTGATACAATGATGTTTGGCATGACAAATTGCTTATTTGATGTCATTCTTCTTTTGCAGGAAGGATCTAGCTATGATCGAGGTTTATATGCTCGTTGTTTTGAGGAATTGTTTGATTTAGCCAACTCTGATTCTACTTGCACTTCTCAATATGAATTCTCTGTTACTGTTTTTGAGCTTTATAATGAACAGGTTTCTTTCTCTTGTCACTTTGGGATCTGCTCCCTTTCTTTCTTTCTCTCTTTGTTTTCTGTCTTTTTATTGCTTAAAATGTGGTTTGGTTCTTTTGATGTTTTTCCTTTGAGATAGGATTGTAAGGCTGTCATGGTTTGTTCTTATGTGCTTGCAGACAAGGGATCTGCTTTTGGAGGTGGGGAAAAGCACGTCCAAGCTTTGCTTAGGATCGATGGAATGTTCTGTTGAATTGGTGCAGGAAAAAGTTAATAATCCTCTGGCGTTTTCTAGGGTTTTGAAAGCCGCATTTCTGAGTCGTGGAAATGATGTGTTGAAGTTTAATGTCTCTCATTTGTATGGTCCAAGTTCCCTTACCACATTATCAGTGATTGTATCATACTGTAGCTTTATTTTTTCTGCTCTACATTGCACGATAAGCATCTATATAACTTATCTTCACCGACATAACTGTTGGCAATAGTGCAATAATATAAACAAAGGCTTTCTTGCTCTTTTACCATCTTTATCTATTACTGTTCAATGCAGACAAGTTAAACTTGGAGCAAAACTTGTGTGAATTTTTGGTCTATTGGTCCTAATCTACCTTATTAAATATTTTTGGCTTTGATTTTTTTTGTTTTTTAATTAGACTGAACCAATTAGTCAATTTCTCAGGACATAATTGCCAGGTGTGGGACTTGAGTTCTCCAGGGGAAGTTTGGGATTCTATTGTGAAATTTATATGGACTTTGGGCTCTCCAACCTCTGAATTAGTGATTGTGGGTGTGATTTTCTCAGAAGTTTGTATCAATTGGCATTAAATCTTTCCACTGTTTCCAGCCAGTAGCCGCAGTTGTGCTAGTAGAGGATGTTGGTTTTGCAACATTAGCCCAAGGCTAGAAACTAGCACGAAACCAGTTTGTCTATTTACATGGACTCTATAACTATTAAGCATGGTTGGATGTTAGGAGCCGTTGTAGGGTATAGGACTTGAGTCAGCCATGGGGAATAGGGGATTCTAATATCGGAGTTATGTGGACCTTGGGCTCTTCAAATCCTACGAGCTGGTTTTTAGGTCATGGTTCCGCCAAAAGTCTGGGTAAATTGGTATCCCATTGCACTTAGAAGTAATCAACTATTTATATGAACAAGATTCAGTGAAGCGCTACTAAAGAAAATATAGAATGCAGCAGTAGAACAATGTAAAGCAAACTTGAAATGGGAAAAATGAGTGTAATAAAGTCAAATGCCAGGCCTTTTACTTGCTTGGTATCTCTCTCCAAGACCCAAGTATTTTCCGTTATCCTGATCTGGCCAGCCCCTCTCCTTCTTCTCCAATTTTACCTCCCACAGAGTTAGCCTCTCCTGTCTATCTTCTACGTGTTCCATATTTCCATCCTTGCTGTCAAGTTTAGTTACATAATCTCTTATGCCACCTACCTTTCTCTTACTAACCTGATTATATTTTCTAGAGTATACTTTAACCACTGGGATCCATTGGGTATTGATGAAATCAGCTGAGCAATTGATGACTTAGCTTCAAGTTCTTATTCCACTAATTGAATGATACATATAGGGAAGAAAAATATGCGATAAGATAAAACCTAGAATCTAAAATCTAATCTAGGATAAAATCAGATTATATCTGATAGAGTTCAAACAACTTAAATTAAAATAAAACATTAATCAACTCATAAACAATAAATAACAAACTAACTAATGGGCCTTCCCAAATGGGCTTGGGCTCAAGTCTTCATCTTTCAACGGGTATCCTTCCTCTGCTGCATGTTTTTGGTTTTATTTAATATGGTGATATGAATAATCTGAGTTTGTACATTTCAAGTACATTTGAACTGGATCATTTTCTTGAATTCATCAAGGTGTTATGGATTTGATGTTCCCAATATAATTTATTGAGGCTGGTTAATTTTACTTTTATGTTTTAATTTGCCTACCTGTCTTCACTCTTACTTTAAGGACCACGGTATCCTCTTCTCTCATTTCTCATTAATTCACGAGACATGATATCATTTTTTGGGTTTAAAAAAAAAAAAAGCTTAAACAAAACTAATTATTTGTATTGTTGAAAGCCTGGATCTTGGTATTGACTAGAAGCAGTTTTTGTATTTGAGTACACAAAGGTTGTAACCTAGTCTCCAACCCTTTTATAATTTTATTGTGAGTGGTTAGGCTAATTCAGTCATGTGGATTTCATGTCTTGCCTTGACAGGATTGTCACCATACACATATTATATAACAATTTGATCACTGGTGAAAACTCATACAGCAAGCTTTCTTTGGTTGACTTGGCTGGAAGTGAAGGTTTAATAACAGAAGATGATAGTGGGGAACGTGTGACAGATTTGCTTCATGTTATGAAGTCACTTTCAGCGTATGTCTCTCTGGTTTTTTTCGCCCATGTCTCCCTTTTTTTTTTTTTTTTTTTTAACGTGAATTCAGCATCATGTTTTAGTTCATTAGTGTTCTTTTCATTATTTGTCTGCTTGAAACTCAACCAGGGGAATGTCCAGCCTGTTGTTTGCTGTGTCAATGCAGTCTGAGGTTTCTTTTATTTTATCTTTAGATATTTTGTGGTTTCTTCATTTTCTTTAGTTGGTGTTATTTTTAGTTGGTTAACATTGTCCTTTAATTTTGGCCCCAAAAAAAGAAAAAGAAAAACAGTGTCCTTTAATATCTCTTATGCTGCTTGGGAAATCATTACTGCAAATATTTGGTTGTCAATAACCAGTTGTTTTCCTCTTGTGGCAATAGAAGGCATTGCTCTATTGCTTTTTATCCACAAAACTGAAAATCAGTTCTAACATTGATCTTCCTCTTCTCTCTGTTCCTATGTGCTTATCTGTCGAAATTGTCGTTAAAGTTATCTCTGTATTTTTGTGTAGAAAATTCTTAGCATATTCTGTATATTAACATGTTGCTGCAGTTTGGGTGATGTTTTGTTTTCTTTGACGTCAAAGAAGGACGTTATTCCATATGAAAATTCAGTGCTGACAAAATTGCTTGCTGACTCACTTGGTATTAATCTTCTCCTTTCTTCTGTTACATATAATCTTATGGTGGCGTCTGTGGGCTATGTATGCATATGTCTGAGCAATTTGACAAAACGTTGTTTAAACGGAACAAGAAATGTTCGTTTGTAATTGTTATGATGCCAATGCATTCACTTTTACATGGCCTTTTCATGCGAATGAACTGTCAAGCCAACATATAATTATTTTGCCTTGTTCCTGTTATCCATAGTATTCTTGTGACGAGATTAATTTTAAAATCAATCCACATTGTGGGGTTAAGATAATTCTGTAAATACTAAATTTTTAACCATTGTTTTAAGTGAAGTAATTTTTTTTGGGACAAATAAAAGCTAGACTCTGGATCATCCAGAATTTATACTGTGGAACTTGCATCTTCCATTCCATCATGAAGATATACTTTTTAGCCTGATTATGCCGCTGCTGTGCCAGTAAACTGTGGACTATATTAACCAAAATTTCCCGTATTCCTATCCTTTGTATTGTGGACAATCTCGGGTATAAATTTGAACGAGCATTGACAAGATTTACTTGTAGTTATCACCAATAATTATGTTATGGTTGCCATTTTCCTTTGCTGTTTGTCAGAGTGGTTCCAGATACAATATTTCTTTTTCCTTTTTTTTTTTTTTCACGTGCATCTTCTTTTATTATGCAGGTGGGAGTTCAAAAACTCTCATGATTGTAAACGTGTGTCCAAATCTTTCAAATGTATCTGAAACTTTATCATCTCTCAATTTCTCTGCTAGAGCTCGAAATTCTGTATTAAGCCTGGGAAATCGAGATACAATTAAGAAGTGGAGAGATACTGTAAGTTCTTTGACCCTTTTCCTTCTTTGGAAATAGATTTTAAGTTCCACTTGTTTGCCATATTCGATTTGTTCTACGTTCGTCAGTTTGAGGATTTGTGGTGGCAATTAAAATACTACTTTTTGAAGTTGAACTCTTGTAACTTCATGTTGATAGGCTAGCTGTCACGTGGTCTGGTCCCAATTTGCACTTATTAAGACTTGAACTTGGATTTGCTTGAATAGAACATAGAAAGTAGCGTACATACATAATGTAGGAGCAATTCATATCTGGTCTGGCATTGATCAATCTGACATGGTCCTTCATAATGACAATTTTCTATTTCCACTACAAGCTCTGAACTTACTTTGGTGTGGTTACTGCAGGCAAATGATGCACGCAAAGAGTTGTATGAGAAGGAGAAAGAAATCCATGATCTGAAGCATGAGGGACTGGGGCTTAAGCAATCAATTAAAGATGCAAATGATCAGTGTGTCTTACTATTCAATGAAGTACAGAAAGCATGGAAGATTTCTTCTGTATTTCAGACTGAATTAAAGGTGGTTTGGGACAATTTAAGAATTCTATATAGTGACAGCTTACTTATTGATTTGATAAATTTGTTTACTCTGTATGGCATGATTGAATTATGTTAGTCTTTTGGGTAATTCATGTTAATTTCATGCTACACAACATTAGAAGGAGAAAATTTATGCTGCAGTTCAGTATCTCGAGTGATTATTTCACAGCCACAGCCGGAGATTTCTTCAAGGCCACTGTGTACTAAATGATATTCATTTAAACCGTCAGGATGGGTATTAATTTTTCTTCTGTCTTGATCCAGCATTTTTTTTTCCGGGTTACTCCAAAAACTCAATGAGTTATTAAGCAGGACTTTTTGGTTAACAATTTATCTAAATATTTAGTTTTTGATAGAGTACAATAGTGCTGTGCGATTTATATAGCTGACCCCACCTAGTGGGATAAGGCTTGTAGTCACTACTTCAAAACCCGTGTCATATGTAATTTGTGGAGACTTGAAATCGATACTTTGCACCATGAGATATGACTTGATCCTTTGCAAAGTGTACTAACCTTGTGTTAATACTTGATTGCCAGCTCTGAACATTAGACGATGCTTAAGTACAGCTTGTTGATAAGCAATCTTATTGTTTTTATGTGCTGCAGTCAGAGCATATTATGCTAGCAGATCAGCATAAGATTGAGAGAGAACAAAATGCTCAGCTAAGAAATCAAGTTGCTCAACTGTTACAGTCAGACCAAGATAAAAAATTGCTCATCCAACAGCAAGATTCAACCATCCAAAGTTTGCAGGTTTTGCATGCCTTTTAACGCAATATTTTTTTAGTTCTTGAATTGTTTGTGAAGTCCTATTTCTTTAATATGTTAACAAGTGCTTCTATGTTCTATTTTGAAGTTAAAAATATTGATGATACAAAGAAGAATTTTATCATTTCAAGTGAGATAAATATAAAAATTAATCATTTTTAATGTTCTTGGGCTCTTTGCCTTTTATGTGATGATGAGATAGAATGGAAAGGCAAGGAGTGGAATGGCTAGTGATGTTCCGTTCCATTATGGTCTAACAAGGTAGGGGAGAGTCACTACTGGAATGGAATGTGTTATACATTAATTTTCTACAATTACCCTGAACCCCTTAAAACTAGTGCTTGATTGTGGCAATGTTTTTGTGAAAGTAATAGAATATTACTACACTGTGACCCACAAGTCCCTAGATGGAACCAAGCTTTGATACCATATAAAGCGTTTTGAGAAAGAGAATGGGATACTGTGTTGGACCATACACAGATTTCTTATATCTATAAGCAATGAAAAATATATGGGCACAATGGTGGCAAAAAAATGAGTACAAGGAACCTAGCCAAAAATGAATCTAGATGCTATACATTACTATATACAATGTAGTAATATCTAACCACTCTAACCGGAATTAACCACTTATTGATTCTATTCCTTCTTAAGTCGCTTAGTCTGGAGAAACTCAGGTTTTTGATGCCAGGGTGGTGTCTTGGATTCCTACCTTTGTCATTCCAGTTCATCCTCAATAAAAAAGCTCCCATAAACTATTTTATCCATATTGTACATTCCATTCCATCTCTTGACATCTATCCAAGCACGCCCTTAGCCTTAGATCCGTAGCCAATGAGCAATTTCTTTCTGCATGTTGCCAGGTTGTCTAAGCCTTCTCTGTTCTACATTCATGCAGGATAAGGTTAAAGCCCTTGAAAGACAGTTGCATAAAGCCATTAAATCCAGTGGCACAGGACCAGATTCTGGAACTTCATCCAATGCTAAGGCAGCTGGCGATGGTGTGGATTCTTCTGCTGCAACCAAGAGACTGGAAGAGGAACTCAAGAAACGTGATGCTCTGATTGAGGTTTGGCATATTTGACACGTGTCTGATTGTTGTAGTCTTACACTTCTGTTTGGATAATTGGTTTGCTTTTGTCTACCATTTACAGAATATGTGGTTTAGCAAGTACAAACTTACCGTAAAACCATGGCAATATGTTCTGTATTATATCTTCTAGGCACTAATTGGTTAACATATAGGAGTGCATTTTGCCTACAGTTGGACCTGTGATTCAAAGAAACAATGAAGTCTATAAAGTGTCAAAATGAAATGAGGATCGATTGTATAAATGGATGGTCAGTCTTGTGGCTTGACTGTCCCTAATTAGGGGAAATTTTCTGTGAGATGATATCATCTGTGACCTAGTCATGTATGCATAGGAAAAAATGGTGAGGATGGCTAAAACAGTGTTGGGTTGACGCTTTGGTTTGCATCTTCTAGTATCCTTTCTAGGCTGTAAATATTTGCGTACTTATGCCAATGTATATTGAAAAAGATGCAATAAGTAAGTTCTTAATTTTTTTCGATTTTAATTCTTTTAGTGCTTGATATTTTGATATGGTTACTATGGTCCTATTGTCTTCTGGTAAGAAGCATAATATGTTGTTTTGCAGAGGTTACATGAAGAAAATGAGAAATTGTTTGATAGGTTAACTGGGAAATTATCTCTGGGCGGGTCGCCTCAGGTAGACAAAATTCACTTCCTACAATAATAACTTTGGTAATTATATCAATCTGCATTATACGAAGAGGAGGATTTTTATTTTCCTGTTTCTTTTTTTAAATATTTTTAATGCATCTAATACAATATGGTCTTTTATTAAGATAATTTACAATCCTCACTCTTTCCTATATTTTTTCCACGGATTGTGCATGCATTACCTGTAACTGAAACTGAATGGTTCAAAAATGTTACATTTGATATGAAGCTGTTGATTGTTAGACTGGTTTCTTCCTGTATGGATCCAACCGGAGAGGTTGTTAATTCTTATTTTACACACGTTTGCATTGTTTCCCTTAATCAGTATCTTATGGTAGCATACCTGAGACTAATATAGATAACCAAACAAAATTGCACTTCCATGATTATTTATATTGATAATCATGCATCTGAGGTATATGTGGCGGTTCTGGCTCTTAAAATTTTTTACTTTATCTTCAGTTGTCAAGTCCGTTATCCATGGGATCAGATAATGTTCATCCTCAGGATATAGGGAGGTATAATTCTATAATACTTCTAGTAAGTCTGGCACTTCTGTTTTGTCTACAAGCATTTGATTATCTGGCTTTATTCTATTTGACTTGAAACAGGAATAAAAGCAACAAAGCTAGAGCTCAATCTGTGGATGCTCTTCCTTCACATTTGGCCACAGAAAAGAATGATGGCACAGTTGCTTTAGTAAAATCCAATCCTGAGAAAGTTAAGTCTACCCCGGCAGGTGAATATCTAACTGCTGCGCTGAATGACTTTGATCCTGATCAGTATGAAGGCCTTGCTGCTATGTCTGATGGTGCAAACAAGCTGTTGATGCTGGTATGCATAGTGATTAGTTTATGGTTTAGTTGGCTGGAACAGTTGTATTTTTAAATGTAGAAATGTTTCTTGTTTCCTTTTTATGCCCTCTTTTCCCTCCTGGGGGAGGGTCATTGTTTTCAAAATTCTGAGTTTTCATGTATTATGTCAGAGTTGTTCATCTATTTTGTGCGAAGACTTCAGAATTCTATAATCTCTTCTGATTTTTGATGACAATATAAAATGACAAGGGTGTTGGTAAAAGTTTTGTCTGACTTCTAGTGAGTTTGATTACTTTGCATCTTTATAAAGTGCCTTGAGCAAGTTCAAATAGCTGCAGCATGATGATATCCACTTCAGGCTAGGTATTTATTGGGGTTATTCTTTGCATTTTCAGGTTCTGGCTGCCGTCATCAAAGCTGGTGCCTCTAGAGAACATGAGATACTTGCTGAAATTAGGGATGCTGTTTTCTATTTTATCCGGAAAATGGAGCCAAAGAGAGTAATGGACACCATGCTTGTTTGCCGGGTCAGAATCCTGTATATAAGATCTTTGCTTGCTAAATCACCAGAGCTGCAATCCATTAAGGTGACTAACAAGCAGAGGCTGCTTCTTTTTTATGTTCTGATGTGGTTTTCACAAAGTATGTTTTTTCGGTTCTATTCAAGGGCATTCCTGATGTTAAGTTGGTAACACTTGCCCATTGATTTGGAAGGTCTTGCCAGTTGAGTGCTTCCTAGAAAAAGCTAATACTGGACAAAGTAGAAGTTCGAGCAGGGGAAGCAGTCCTGGAAGATCTCCAGTGCAGTATTTTGATGAACAAATCCAAGGATTTAAAGTGAATCTAAAGCCAGAGAAGAAATCCAAATTTTCAACTGTTGTATTGAAGATACGTGGAATTGATCAGGTAGCAGCTCTTATGATATTTTCTCTCTTTTTGCTGCACATAAAACCATACAGAATAACTCAAGGTCAATTAGACTGGAATATTAGGCTATTGAGGAAAGAAGCTGCATTCTCCTCGGACTTCTTTTGAACTCGAATACAATCAAAAGTAACTATTTTCAGTCTCAAAGTTTGATGATCTGTCATTCATTCTTGTAATTCATGATTTCTTTTTGTTCCTTATTTCTTTTTTGGCACCATACTGGCTATGATTCTTCATTGCCTGAACTTCAGGGTCCTATAGATTTGTCACTTGCTCTCTTTACAATTTTTATCGGGAAAAATGTACAGGCGACCTGGAGACAGCAGGTAACTGGTGGAAAGTTAAGGGAAATAACCGAGGAAGCCAGAAGTTTTGCAATTCGAAACAAGGCTCTTGCTGCGCTCTTTGTACATACTCCGGCAGGTGAGCTGCAGCGCCAAGTTAGGTACTGGCTTGCTGAGAACTTTGACTTTCTTTCTGTTACTGGCAATGATGCATTGGGAGGGTCAACTGGTCACTTGGAGCTTCTTTCTACTGCAATCATGGATGGTTGGATGGCTGGACTTGGCGCTGCACTGCCTCCTCAAACTGATGCTCTTGGCCAGCTTTTATTTGAATATACTAAACGTCTGTATACTTCTCAACTTCAACATTTGAAGGTATGCCTAAAGTAATATTATTCGTGATTATCTCTTCAGAAGGAGCACATAATCTGTTCTCGAATGCTTAAATAAACCTTGCTTATTTTGCGACTATCCTAAGAGATGATACATTTGAAGACATTGTCTCTTGACGTGCCTAATATATGCGCGATCCTCATGTTTCATAATCTTAGGAATAAATATTGAATTTTAGAAATTCATTTAAATCGAGATATTTAATGAAAACAGTCTGGGCATGATTCCTGAGTGACTGGTTTAGGTCTGAATTTATTTTTAATCTAGGTGTTCTCATTTTTGGGGAAAATGAAATCTTCTTTCACTGCCGTCTGACCTAAAAGCATGCTCTACATTACTAATCTTTATACTATGTTCTGTCCCTTCACTGTGAAATATTCTCCCCTGTTAAGCTACCATCTGCCTTGTTTTCTTACCTGTTTCAATGTTAGCCTTTATCTGAACCCAGTAATAGCAAAAAGTTGCTCTAATTAAATTATGAGATTATTTTCCTGTATTTTTCTACAAACCAGCCTTGAGATGTTATAATCAAGTTGCTCTGTTGCGGCCTACAAGAGATCTTCATTTAACATGGCTACTTGAATTTTTATGATTTGCTTGATTGAATTGAATGGCGTTGATGTTTATCCTTAAATGGAAAATTTAGAATTCCTGTTTCACTGGTTTCTGTATGCGCATAAGACCTGACTTTTTTGCTTCTCGAATAATGTGTTGGCTATATGTTTTTGGACATTGATTTTCAGGATATTGCTGGTACCTTGGCTGCAGAAGAGGTGGAAGATGCAGCACAAGTATTCAAGTTGCGTTCAGCTCTTGACTCCGTTGATCACAAAAGAAGAAAGGTAATATATGTTTGTTATCTTTTGGTTACCTTTAACTGTATATATTAGCTCCTATTTGCCTATAATCAAGAGTTCATCAGGAGATAAAGTATTAACTCATGCATATTCTGAATGCTTCTGGAGGCCATCTTTGTACAGTTAAAGAGGAAGATATAAAATGCAAGAATTTCCCTTTTGTTACTTTTTTGTGGCCAGAATCTGAAATCATAACTCAAGAAAACTAGAGGGCCTATATTTGCAGGTCTTCACCTCGGTAAAATTGTTGAGGAAAGAATTCACTTAGACATAAGTTCAGATCTTACTGATTGGCAGAAACAGGCAACTAAAAAAGTTTTTTGCATGCGAACCTTAGGCTCTCATTATTGAAATTCAACTTTCATCACTTGCTGATGCAGAACTCACGAAAGCAAATTATCACATGTCTGAATAGTGCTTTTTCAGTAAGATCCAAGCTTTGAAGGTTTATTATGACATTTCTGTTCTCCATTAATAATCTTGGCTTTCTTTGTATTTTTTACTGATTTTTTTCTCAATGGCAAAGAGGGAAACGTGTGAGATGATAAGATAGCATCCCATGGCTGTAGCCTGTTAGTGGTGCTTATTCTGTTGGGCTGCTAATATAGTGAGATACCTTCCTACGAATGTGGTACAAGGGGAAGTAGACAACATTACTCGAGTAATTTTCTCCCCTCCAATCCGTTTGACCTCTCAAAGAAACTCCTCTGCTAGCAGAACATTGCAAATATACAATCCATTGTTAGTGCATAAAGTTCTAGTACTTTCTTCTTTCCCAACATTCTTTTTTATTTTCTTATAACGCTTCTAGGTCTTGAAAGATTTCTCATGTCGATCTATTTGTATTTTATATCAACAAGGCGAAAAGAGTTAGCCCTCAGTCAGTGAACTTTCTATGACTACTTATCATTGAGAATGGATGTTTCATAGTATCATTTATGAATTTTGTAGTTTATAGGTGAAAACAAATGGGGAAAAAAATTCAAATGCATTTCTTTTTCTTACACATATATCATCCTCTGCGTTGCTTTTTACTCAGCAGATTTTGCAACAAATGAGAAGTGACGCTGCTTTATTGACATTGGATGATGGTGGTTCACCTATTCGAAGCCCCCCTACTGCAGCTGAAGATGCACGATTAGCATCTCTCATTTCACTTGATGGCATGTTGAAAGAAATCAAGGTTCTTACTTGCTTGTTCAAAATTATTTTTAAAATTTGAGTCTATTGTTATCAAAATTAAAGTTATTAGTTGAACAGAATATGACAAGACATTCTACACTAAATGCTGTGAGCAAAAGTAAGAAGAGAGCAATGCTTGCTTCTCTGGATGAATTAACACAACGGATGCCTTTGCTACTTGAAATTGATCATCCATGCGCAAAGGGTCTCATTGCAGGTGCTCGCCACTTGGTTGAGGTATGGAATGTTTTTACCTGTGGGGCTAGCTTGTATTTATATTTAGTGGAGGGCCATGGGTCCGATTCCCATTTTGCAAAATTTTTTGTATATAGTATTAAATTTTGATGTTATGTCCCTGAATTCCTTAAACATTTGAACTATTTGACCCATGAATTTACTACATACATACGCAACTTTTTATTATTAGACACCTGGGTCTCACCTTTCGCCAAGTACTGTGAATCCTAAATCTTTCCTCTCTTGTCTAATGAGGCAGTCGACTCCTGAAGTTGATGACAATATCCAAGATCTATCACATGCTCGCAAGCCTTCAACAGATCTGGGCTCCGGATCCGAAACTGATGTGGCACAGTGGAATGTCCTCCAATTTAATACAGGCACTTCCTCCCCATTTATAATCAAATGTGGGGCAAATTCAAGTTCAGAACTAGTCATAAAAGCCGATTCTCGAGTTCAAGAACCTAGAGGTGGTGAGATTGTGAGGGTTGCCCCTAGACCATCAATTTTGGAAAACATGAGCTTAGAGGAAATGAAACAAGTATTTGCCGAACTACCTGAGGCTCTTAGCTTGCTTGCCCTAGCAAGGACAGCGGATGGAACTCGAGCACGGTATTCTAGACTGTACAGGACCTTGGCTATGAAGGTTCCATCCCTGAAGGATCTGGTTAGAGAGCTTGAAAAGGGTGGTGTGCTGAAAGATGTTAGAACATAGCCCACAATATGGTAAGCCGATGATGAATTATAGTGCGTTGTGTTGATGTTATCTGGGTTTTGGTTGTGTGGCTTTGCGAGTCAGTCTGTCGCGTTTGCTGGATCCTGGGGAGACAATCTATGTACATTGTAAGCGTTATTCTGCCTGCGCCTGTTAGTGTTTTAGTGGTAGTTAGTTCAGTTTTGCCCGGGAGTGTAATTAAGCGGTGTATGTATTTCTCAAGCAACCTGTAAATATGTTCTGATACGAATAAGTCTGAATAGAAATTAAGTTCTCAATTACTCAAGTCAAATATCAAAAGATGATTGTCTGTACATGCTGGTTTTTGCTGATGAAAGAGCTATTTATCGCATGAGTAATTGAGTCTTGGTGGAAATTAGTTTTTTTTTTTTTTTTGGGGTAGAAATCAGGTTTTGCTCGCTCCTGAAATTTGAAATGGGTCATAGGCGGGTTTCTTCTTCTTGTTTTTTTCAAATAGCTTCTCAATTAAAAATAGATGTTGAGTTCCTTCATTATTTGAATATGCTGGTTGGTGGTCAGATTTCTTTTGTATGGTGTTTATGCTTTTAAATGATGTTTTAATTGAAGGATGATATTTGAAGAATGACCATATTTTCTTAAAATATTTGGAATTAATGGAAAAAGTGAAAATTTTTGCTTAAGCTTATATTATCGTAGTATTTTATATTTGTAAGATTGTATTTTCAAAATTATATAGAAACCACATAATGGAAGATGAATTTAAATTCAAAATAGGAAAGTTTGAACGAAGTGATGAAGCATGAAAATGAAAATGAACATGGGAACAAAATTAGATCTGGAGTTAGAAAATGTAACAGAACAAATAGTAGAAAAGTTGGTTTATTATTACATACAGATTTATATGTTGTAAGGTCGGTGTGTGGAAAAAACATAAAAGAGACTTTTAATCAACATTTTTGTTCCCAATTCCTCCAACGTAACTCAGCCTATTTTCCCCCCACTCACTACATTATAATCATTTTCGCTAACAAGTTTATTGGTAGGATGAAGCAATAAATTGATTAATTCTAAATGTTATATGTAGCTATCATATTTTAATATCGCAAACAATGACATTTGAAATGTAATCACAAGTTAATAAAATTCCAAACACTTGAAGCCATAAAATATATGGCAAAGAAAAACACATGAACATAATTTGCATAATAACAACAATTTATTCTTTTCAATAATGTCATGTATAATTTGCTTTTGATATGTAGAACTATCTTTGTACATTTTATTTTCTTTACAAACTTTACATGTATGTTGCAAGTCTAAGTAAATGCATAATTGAGCTCTTCATACATGACACAAATACGCATCAGGCTATTTTTTGGCTTTTGGGGATAACACTGCACAGTACAACTTTTGAATTTTGGCTTTTAGATACAGCATTGCATAGGATAGCATAAACTTTACATGCTTTGCCTACGTACTTCGCTTTAATGGACACTTTTTATTTTTTTTTTTTTTTTACACGTCTAGTTTTGAAACTCGAGTGGTTCTTTGTTTTATTTTCTAATTTGGTTGGTGCCACAATTTCATCGTCTCGCCACGTTAGGTTGTTATTGATGAACGAATTAGCATAGATCAAAATAAAAGGAAATTTCGAAGATCTTCTTGAGGACTCAAAACACTACAAATTGTCCTGAGAATATGCAGGGAATGTTTTGAGGATCACTAGCTCATAGTCAAAGAAATAAATCCTTAATTAAGAGAATGTTCCTTCTCAAATTATTCATGAGAAGAAGCTTATTTAAATCTGCTAACTGTAATGGCAAGAGGAAGTTTCTAAGATTATTTCAACTTACGTATGATACAAGTTAGGGAATCAGACTTCATATCTCTCATCAAAAGTTATGTTTGGAATCTTTGTCATCTTGTGTGAAACACTAAATTACTATCAAATATTAAACCGCGTTCAATTTACGGGGGAAAACGACGGACTCATTTTGCCAAAAGTCAAGATCATGGGCTTCATCTAACCGTCGCCATGAGAGAATCATAAAAAATGAATTTATGAATATACGAATCCAATCTATGAAAATAAAATCACGAATCAGCTTACCTTTACGATGAGGTTCCAATTGACCCACAGGAGACTTCAGGAAAATGACTAACGCAGTATTGAAGCAAAACAATCCCCATATCCAAGTACTTTCGTCTCATTACGAAAAAACGCGTCTTCTCGAGCTACCACTGCCACCTCAAAGCCTACCCCTCTCCTTCCATTATTAGTTCACACATACTCTCCAGAATCTCATCATCATATATAATAATCTGATCTCGCGGCTTTCTCAGCCACCATGATGTTTAAGATTAATATCCATCCAAAAGTATGGAGATTCCTAGGTTTCGTGTCAAGTGTAGTTGGATTCGTCTGTTATGCCTTCAGCCCCTCATTCCACGACCTGTTTGGACACTGGACTTTGTTCAGCATCGTATTGTACTCCACTCTGAGCACCATATTCTCCATCTTGACGCTGTTGGTAAACAAGTGTCCCCAGTTCTCTAAGGTTTTCTTGCTGAAAGCACACGTTGGGTTTCTGGCTCTGATGCTCACCTCTCTCTATTCTTTTTACGAAGACCGAAGCAAACAACATGAGGAAGACGAAAAGGGACGAAGGAACATGTTGAGCCTTGTCTCCTTTGCAGCATTTGCCTTCATGTCGGTCTGCTTGTCTAAACAAATCCAACCAGAATTTGATCTGGGTATGTCCAATTTTTTCCTGGGATGTCTCATCGTCGCGGCCATGAAAATGAATATTAAGGTTGCTCTCGGTGTATCAGCGTTGTTCTATGTGCTCATCACTGTTCGTTCCTGTTGGGATTCCCAGACGGGACTGCTCAATCTTGGCGATACAGAACGTGAAGTCATGCGGACTCTTGCTGATAATAATGGTGACGAAGAAGACCACATGGAAATGCCGAGTTTAGATAACGATGGCCAAAAGGGATTGGATGCGGTTGTGGAAATTCAAGAAGAAACTGGATGTGACAATATTGATGAATTGGATACATGGTTTCAAGCTTTTCAGGGCCCAGCAAGTTTCTCCTCTCCTTTGTGATGGATGGGAATGGGATTTCAAAGTTAGGCCTCATTCAGTTGGATCAGATCGGCCCAGTTCGTAGCCACTTCAGGCCCAATCTCTTCTCTCTGATCATAAATTCTTTTCGTAACATATTTTTTCCATTAGTTTTTTGGTTTGTTTTATTTCACATAATGCACTTTGTGGAATGTTGACACGGTAAAAAAAAAAGCTAGAGCAAAACAAAAACTTCAAAATCAGTTGATAGCTTGTAAATCCGTGTTAAGGTAGGAGGATCTTTGTTAAGAGAATACTAACTCATTTATACTCTCTCAAATAACAATAAAACAATTAAGTGGAGAGATACTGTAAGTTCTTTGACCCTTTTCCTTCTTTGGAATTAGATTTTAAGTCCTACTTGTATGCCATCTTCGATCTGTTTTAATTTCATCAGTTTGAAGATATTTGTCGGCAATTTGAAATATTACTTTTAGAAGCTGAACTCTTGTACCTTTATGCTGATGGCTGATAGGCTAATTGTCGCGTGGTCTGGTCCCATATTGCACTTATCAAGACTTGAACTGGGATTTGTTTGAGGAAAAGATAGAAAGTAAGATACAAACATAATGTTGGAGCAATTCATATCTGGTTTAGCGTTGATCACTTTTGACAAGGTCCTTCATGATGACAATGTACCATTTCCCATTACAAGAAAAGAGTTGTTTGAGAAGGGGATGGAAATCCATGATCTGAAACATGTGGACTGGAATTAAAGCAATCAATTAAAAATGCAAGACTTGTTTGGAATGGTAATTGGAACCCTTAAAAACAGCTTTTTAATTACAATTTATAGAATACGAGATAAATATGTAATGATAGTTTTATTTCGATTTACATGAATATACTTATAAGTCATTATTTTGGGTTTTGCTTCAAGGTGGCTTTTTCTCAAAAGCCTATTTGCTCTGACGTGAATCCAAAAAGTCCCTCACCTAAATAAACTACCAAGTCACGTTTTGCGCTACTTTTCAAGGCACGTTTTGCCCTCCCAACAGTGTTCCAAAGACACCCGTATGCAGCTCCAATAAAGCACGCAAATGATCAGCTTGTCTAAACTATTCAATGAAATGCAGAAAGCATATTCTTTCGCATTTTGAGATAGATTTAAAGGTGGTTCTGGACAACTTCTGAAATCTATGTATTGACGGCTTGCTTGTTGATTTGATAATTTTGCTTACTTTGCATGGTATTTGAGTCATACTAGTCTTTTGGGTAATTCGTGTCAATTTCATGCTAGAATGAGAACATTTATGCTGCAATTATCGAGTGATTATTTCACAGCCATAGGCAGAGGCTTTATCTAGTCCACTGTGCATCAAGTAATATTCATTTAAATCATCAGGATGGGTTTTAATTATCTTTTCTTCTTCGTCTTGACCCAACGTGTTGTTTTGTTTTTTAGTTGGTGTTACTCCAAAAACTGGGCCATATGTAATTTTTTGAGACTTGAAAATATATATTTTTCCCCATGACTTATGACCCATTGATTCTTTGCAAACCATACCAACCTTGTGCAATACTTGATCGTGAGCTCTTAACATAAGACCATGCTTAAGTACAGCTTGTTGATAAGCAATCTTATCGGTTTTGTAAGCTGCGGTCAGAGCAGATCAGCGTAAGATTGAGAAGGAACAAAACGCTCAGCTAAGAAATCAAGTTGCTCAACTGTTACAGTCAGACCAAGATCAGAAATTGCAGATTCAACCATCCAAAGTTTAGCTGGTTGAGCATGCATGCTATCTAACACTATTCATTTTTAAGTTCTTGAATTGTTTGTGAAGATCTATTTGCTTAGTGTGTTAATAAGTGCTTCTATGTTCAATTGAAGTTAAAAACATTGATGATGCAAAGAAGAATCCTAACCCTTTAAGTTGTCTAAGCCTTCTCTGTTCTATATTCATGCAGGATAAGATTGAAGCCCTTGAAAGACAAATGCATGAAGCCATTAAATGCAGTGAAGATATTTATCAAGAAGCTCGAATTACTACCTCTGATCTTTAATATAAGATTCCATTTGACTTTTATCTTGATCCTAAATATAAGGCTCCAATCCATTTTGTCTCTCATACTTATTTATTTTTTCCAAGATAGTCCTTATAATTAGATAGTTCTAACTAATGCACTTGATTAATAAGAATATTTTAGAAAAAACAATAACTAGTTACTACAAATAACCAACTTAACTAATTTTTTAATCTACTCAAATTAGTCAACTAGTTCTTATATTAAGGATCAGATTTGGTATTTACTAAATCCAGTGAAGATAGATCAACATTTGGCACAGAGCCAGCAAATTTTGGAGCCTGCTGTGTGTGACGGGTTCAAATTCTTCAAGAACCTCACCCTATTGTTCGAGCTAAGCCAACTCATTTTGGATTTGTTTTAGTTTACTTCGTTTTTTATTTGTTTTGTTCTTGGGCTTTTGGCCTGAACTCTTCCCCTTCAAGTTAATCTTGCCTCTCTACGGTGAAAAAAAGTTGAAATTGTTTCTCAAAATAACATACTAATCTTTCATATTAAAGATATAAGTAGTTTTGTTTTAGGTCAAGAGAGTTTCATGTTTTAGGCTTTGAGGTTAAGAGAGTTTAAATATAAAAGATATTATTAAAGCACTGATATTTAGAAAATACTACTTCTTTTCAGTACTGTATACTCGGATAGATACTTCCCAGAATCTCTATGAAGTGAGCCCTTCTATGACTTCTTTGACAAGTTGTTCTTTTTAAACAAGCAAAAATAAGTTGCCAACTATGAAAATTTCACTGCTCTTGTAAACATTGCAAGTGTGAATGTACATAACTCCTAATCTGATTATTCTTCTTAGGATCTTTAAGTTTTGAATATCCTAAACTCGTAACCTTATCAATGAATGACTTGAAAGGGGTTTCTTATGATCAATGCCGTTATGTTCCTCTCTATTTTATTATAACATTGGGGTTAGAATTGAATAGTTAGGAGCCTATAAACAGAGGTCATATACAAGGCACTATACACATAAGTGAATGAAAAATTCTCCCTTGCTCCAAAGTTCACTTTGTATTATTAAGTGAAAATTACCATAAAACAGAACAAGCATTTAAAAAGAGATAGAGAGAGAAAGAGCAGGTCCTCCACTCCTCTGTTCCAATCTAGGCGTGACGACTGACGACAGTTATGAGGATGAGTTTGTTTTGATGATGAACAAGGAGGAGGCTCAGACTTCAGACACTGTGAGACTTGATTATGAGAGAAAAATACATTGGTGTTAAACTTAAAACTGAAAGAAAGTATAGTTCGTCTAGAATGATTTTTCGTATTATAAAATACACACCAGCTCTTGTTCTAAATATAATAATTAGACAAGAGATTTTAATTTGATTTTAAATGTAAGATCTCAATCTATTTTTATTTTCAAAATTATAATTTTTTTCTTTCAAAATATCTCTATTGATTGCATATATCACGACACTTCCAATTAAAGAAGATAGTGTAAAAAAATCAAGATATATTTGTTACAAATAACTAGCTGACTTAATCTTTTTAATATTCATAAATTAGTTATATAATTTTTGTATTAAAGACCAAAAATAGTATCGCTTAAGTTATGTATAATATGTTTTATTTCAAACTCCATGCTGAGCATTATATTCTTTTAGTGCTTGTCAACACAAACGATTTCTTAATTCATTTCTATATATGTGGATAAATTTTATTGCTGTTTTGAACGAACCAACTAATAGCTGTGGCATTTCAGTTACTCGTATGCTGGAAAATTACAGCAGAGAACCTTGGAAATTCTTGTTTGATTAAAAGTCAAGTTGTTTCTACACACTGAGGTTTAAATCTTAATCCACATTTGATACTAGTAATAAAAGAAGGAAAAAAATTACATATATAGTTCCAGCATGGCATGGACATACATGAGGTTTTATTTTATATGACGTAAAAACAGTCAAGTTACATATTAAATTTCAACCTATGATTGTAATTAACTCTAAATAAAAAGTAAATTAGATAAAAGAATGTGAAAATCACAAATAAAGACCATAAAAATTAGAAAATCATAAATCAGGGTTCGCTACAACGTTTTAATACGTTTTGACAAAAATTGACTTGCAAATAACAACAGATTTTCGTTAAAATAACTTATTTAGCTAGAAATGGAATCAGCATCCGAAAGTGACTAGTGAAAGTTCTGAACTTGTTAGAGAATATAAACAAACATTCAGTGGGCAGGATAGATCATATCACCTGCAATAAAAAGTATATAATAGAAGTAATTGTTATTTAATAATTATGACGAAAATATTTTATATGTGTGTGAAATGATAAAATTTATGTCAAGTTGTTTATATTCATCAAGTCAAATTCATATGTAGCTGGTCCCAAAAAAAAATTTCAAATTCATATATAAATTTATAAGTGTAAATACATATTTTAACAAATAATAATAAAATAATTAGTGTTCATATGATAATTTATAAATCTTAATTTAGTTAATATCGATATTTACAAGTATTTATAGGTGAATTTACAAACATCCATATATATTTTAACAGTTAATAATAGAAAAATTATTAATCATAATTAAAAAAAAATGAAAAGAGGAGTCAGTCGGTAAGGTTTGGTTGGATGTTACGTAGAATTTTAGAAAAAGGAGCTTTCTATTGTTGTGGAGGGCGTGAACACTGGGATGAATGTGAACAATAGGATAATGAGCAATTATTATATTAAAAAAATCAGGAGAAAGTGGGGCCGTGGGGGAGATAAAATAATTAAAAAATAAGGAATTGGTGGGGGATGCGCGATAAAAGAAAAGGGCGCTGTTGCGGGGCCCATGGCTAAGGCCTGCCCCAGATGGCACCCAGGACTGGGAGGCCCCGGCAGGACGGTCTCATCTGGATGCTTCCTAATTAGGGGACACGTGGATCTCCGTCAGCACAGTTCCCCTCTTCCCGCCATCTCCACAGCCAATCCATTTACAATTACCCCCCCAGCCCCAACCCAACCCGCTATCCCCAGGAGATTGAAGAGGAAGACGAGAGGAGAGGCCCTCCCTGCTCTTTCGTAACCAATCAAACCATTTCATTTCCATTCCTCACAAAATCTGTAGCTCTAGGCTGACCGGCCAATTAGGAATAAAAATGTCGCCGTAACGGTCATGAGGTCATTAACGTTGACACACTCAAAACCCCTCATGCTTGACCGGCGCGTGC